TTTTTGCTTTTGTATTTTCTTAGATGTTCATTGATTTTTTTTAATAGTTTTTCGCTTTGTTGATGTTTCGTATCAATTAAATTATATAATTTATCACTAACATTTTTAAATTGATTAGCAATATCTTCTAATTGTAATTTAGTTGCATCTAATTGTAATTTAGTTGCATCAATTTTACTATCAAAATCTTTTATCATATCTTGTCTATCTTGTTGTAATTGTAGAATATAAGCTGGTAATACATCATCATCCATATCATTAATCGACAAGGTACTAATATCATCACATTCATTACTATTTAATTGAATATCATTGCCGAATGACAAAATATCCTTGACTATTACATGATTATGTTGAAATTGTTCTTTTGGTGGTGAAATGCAATTATTTTGTACATAATCATCATCATTTGGTGAAATATTATCATCAAATTGATTATTTGTTAAAACATGATGAATTGATAATTGATGAACAAATGGTAAAGTATTATTAAAATAATTATCATCCATTGATGATTGAATTTGACCATTATCAAATAAATCATATGTTGTAATGTTCGATTGAATATTGGATTGACTATCATCAGTATAATTTTTTGCTGGTAAAGTATTTTCATCAATATTCAATCTAAAGAAAAAATCAATTTATTATTTTGGAAAAAAATTCTAATTTTATATTTTATCATCGTCTTTCTTTTTTTTTATAAAAAAATCAATGTTTTTTTTTTCTCATTTTAAAAGTATAATTTTTTAAATAATCAACAAAGTTTAATTATTAATTTCATATAAATTAGAATTTAGCAGTAACTCTAACAGTACGACAATTCGGTGATCATACAAGCATTAAGAAAATCTTTTACAGACTTTCTCTAATAAGTATTTGCACCAAAATATTTAAAATTAAGAAAGACTTTGAAAAAGACCAGTCGTAGTAATTAAGTGTAACTGAATTACTTCTGGAAATTTTCAATTGAATAATAATTACTTATGTTTAAAAACATAAACGCATTCAAAGTGATGCGACTCACTAATAGGTCACATTTTATTTTAGAGAAAACAACTAGATTCTTTTTCATTTCTTTGAGACAGGTTAGTTATCGTATTTGAAATTATTCTATTCTATTGAAGAATAATTTTAAGAGGCTTATTCTCGTATGTATCAACCTTTTGATAAATACTATTCATTAATCTTTTTAGTCTGTGCTGTCTGTCTACTGCTTCTCTTTTTTTAAACTCTATTCGTTTGTATGTATATGAAATAACCTATATCAAAAATGAAATAATTATTTTGCAATTTTATAAAAGTTTTATACGATTTTCACTCTTTGATATATTATTCATGCAATTAAGATCCGATCCGAAAGTAAAAACTCAACAAATAATTCAAAGCACAAGCTCAAAGAAAAGAAAAATTTGTATAAACTATCTACAGATGTTATACTAACCAGAGCCCAAAAATCAGGCAAGACTTTGCTGCCTCAACTTGCCTCACTTTGAAAACTTTTTATCCTATCTCCTCTTACATCGTAGAATATTGGCCTCACTTGGTCTCTTCTTGAAAAGTCGCATACATCACAAGTGCACATCCAGACATGTATCGACCTTGAACATTAATTACCATATATTCATTTTTTTTCCTATAAAAACTTCCAAACCTCTACAAATCTTTTATCGAACATTGTTCAATTTTGTTTTCTGTAATCATTCATACAACCCAAGTGACCAACGCAGACCATAAATGCCTAGTTCTCATTCAGGTTTGGTTAAAATTCTTGTTTCTTAGGTTTTGACTAAGCCTAACTGACGTGATTATTAGGTACTAATTGTGTAGATTGTTCACTTAGTTGTATGAATAATTATAAAAGACAAAATTGAAAAATGTTTAATACAAGATTTGTACAGGTTCGGAAGTTTTCGTAGGAGGAGAAAATGAATCTTTGGCAATCAATCTTCAGACTTGGTACATGTATTACAAATGATAGTTTCATATATTACTATCGTAGGGAGTGTGCTTAAAACTTTTTCACGAATAAAGATGAAATTCATTCAAAAAAAAAAAAAGATACTAGTTAGTTTGTCCAAGCGGCGCTTTCTAAATCGCTTCGTCTCGTTTCGTGCTCCGATATTAACTATTACTAGAAAATGAGAAGACAATTAATGAAGAGAAACAAGTCTGATGACAATTAAAGAAAAAAAAAAATTGTGTTTCGATTATTTTCATAAATAAAATCAATGAAATAAATAACTGAAAGAGTAACAAAGATGAAGGTGGTATAATTTCTTATCTAAGAAAAAAAAAAGATTGCTTTTTTTCTCGTTAAAATTTGGTATACCCTATTGATGGATAATTGACATTATCTCAAATATACTAATTACAATTCAATAGTACAATTCAACTAATTTCGTTTTCAATAGATATAATATAATATTCAATTTTAATTTATTAAACTTACTAATCAATATTTTCAGCTGTTTCGTTTGAATTTATTTCATTAATTGATGACATATGTTGACCAATTGAAGCTGAAATAAAATATAAGTTTTTGTTTTATTTATTATATAAACAATATTTATTATCATTATACATCTTTTATAAATGAAAATCTTGTATAAAAATTTTGTTCTCTTAACTCAATATAAATAAAACATAGGCAATTAAATTTGTTTCGATACGACAACAGTTTAAACTATTGTCACTCAACTAGAGAAAATTAAACATTATTTTTGAGAAAAATATTTAAATAAAAATAATTATTTTTGAATATCTACCTCATTATTTAGGTAGAACTCGAATTATTTCACTTGACATTGTTCAACCAAAACTATCGAGTCAAACTTAAATCGATTGTTTTCTTATAATCTGCGTCTTCTTCAGATGCAGCCTTAAGAATTTTCCTTGTTTATCTATAGGATTACACATATTTCAATAGTAGGTGATCAAAATTGAAAAAAAAAACTTTTCCCAGAAAACTGCTACAAATCTTATGAATTTATCCTTCATTAAAAACCGAATAAGACAATATTGTTAGTATTACTATTAAACTAGAAAACACATAATACTTTCGAAATGGCTGACACAAAACTTTTCTTTTTTTTTTTCACTAATCATAATTGACATTCAAGAATAATTATTCTTTATATATTGATAGATAAAATTTATCTCAATTATTAAATATAATAAGTATGGTGTAACTCAAATGACCAATATACTTACAAATATTTGATGCTTCAACATTTTTATTTTCATTTTCATTTGTATTTTGTTTTATTGTTTGTGCACGACGAACACGAGGACGAATTGGTGATATTACAATCTCTACAAGATATATAATAAATTTACAAAAACAATTTTTTGTTATTTTTTAATCACTTACTGCCATTTGTAAAGTAAAAGACAAGTTAAAATTTTTTCAGCATCGTTTGGTATTGATGGAGCTGATATTTTTTTCAATTCTTTTTTTAAAGTTTTTGTGACGGTACCTGAATTACCGTCACAAATCAAACTTGGAAATTCACCACCAATTTTCTGTTGTATAACTTCTTCCATTATAGGACTATCCATAATATTGAACGAATTTTTTTTATATATAAAAATGAAAATCTATATTTATTTGAACAAATTTATAAAATAAAACATGTATATATATACGTCAACATTTTCGCTTGACAAATTTATTGTTCATCATTTTGCTTTGCTATACAAATCATCCAATTATTCACCTGATTATATTAAATGAATAGAAATTAATCAATAAATATATGGAGATTATTTATCAAATTAAAATAAATCATTCTTAAAATTTTATTTATTTTTTTTTTAATAAAAACTTTGTTTTTCGTTTTTTTTATAGATGGCGCTATACTACAACTGTGTTTTTAAGTATTTTGTGAACAAGCAAAATTAAAAAGTTTGACTCTATTCGTATCATAAATCTGAAACGTTAAATAATATATTTAATAGATATAGGTTTTTATAAATATAACGGGTGGCCCATAATAGATGACCCTCTCAGTATTTTGCACGTTTCTCACCTATAAATCAGCTTAGAAAAAAAAATTTTTTTATAGAAAGATTCCTTGTCAAATTCTCTACAAAACGTAGATATTTTTATTATCTTAAATAATTTCCATTATTTTGTAACATGCGATACAATCGATTGGTCAAAGAAGCACAACTTTCAAACAAGAAGTTTCTAGCAGATAGTTTCATGAGAAGCCAATCAAAAAGCAACGCAAAGTGTTCAGAAAAAAATTCTTTCATATGAGTTTTTGTAGAGCTTTTTTCGCTGATTCTTTTGGTAAAAAAAATGCTTTTGAATTCCATTTATAAATGACAATGTTGTAGTCGAAATACTAAACAAGCTTGAAATGCAACTTCGCCTGGTAAGTAATATGAAAAGTCAATTAGTATATCTCAAAACGGTCGTATTGTGGAGATATATGAGATAGTAAATTTTGTAGAGGAAAGTCTGCTCTAGAAAACCCTGTAGGCGATTTTTCAGATACACTGGAATATTATGAATAAATTCCGTTAGAACATTGTAAAGAGTATCTTCCCTAAAAACAGAAGGTATCATTTCGTTGATCCTATACAATCGTCCTTCGAGATTTCTTCAGAGTATTTAAATGTACTTGAGAATCCGACTATACTGTGTTGTAGAGCAAACTTTCGTCTACAAAACCTACTGAGCTACATTCCTTCATAGCACAGCAGATTTGAGACATGCTAATCCTACGAAAAACTTCTTGTTTGAAAGTTGTGCTTCTTTGACCAATCGATTGTATCGCATGTTACAAAATAATGGAAACTATTTAAGATAATAAAAATATCTACGTTTTGTAGAGAATTTGACAAGGAATCTTTCTATTAAAAAATTTTTTTTTCTAAGCTGAATTATAAGTGAGAAATATGCAAAATACTGAGAGAGTCATTTATTATGGACCACCCGTTATTTATTCAGATTCTCGATTATCTACACCATCACTCTCTTCAAGTGATGGATGAATCTTATTTCAACGGTTCAACGTTCAGATTATCTTTTATCTAAAGTAATCATTTCGTGTTTTTTTAATCCTTATTAAAATATTTATTTACAAGTATGATTTAAAAAGGATCTTCCTGCATTAATTGAACCTAATGGAATTCAATATCGATGGTTAGGTTGTAATCTTCTATTTTCAACACCAATACATTTTAACAAAAGTACAAAACTTTAATTAAATTTTTTGTTCGACGATCCCTGACTGCTGAAAATCGGGCTTCTCAAGAATTTTGATTTCTTTTATAGTCAAATTAATACATGTATATATTGCACTTAATTGTTAATGTCGGTCAGCTATATATAGAAGAAATCAAATTTTTCGAGGGATACCAATTTCAACAATTATCGATTTCCTACCTTCATACATATTGTTTTTTTCTGTCAGCATATTTGATATGTTCATATTAATCGAATTGATTCTCATACATGATTATGCCAATGGCAATCATATACACATATAATCGAATACCATTTAAATCACTTTATTCATTATTTCTTCACTTATACAAACACATAAACAAGTTCGACTATATCAATGTTCATATATATTGGTAGTACAAAAGCATTTACACGTGCAGAATATTTAGGTAAATCTTATATAGATCCAAGTTCATTAAGAAAACATGTTAAAAATATTCGTAGTGAATATGTATTTCGACAAAAACACACATAAACTAACAAATGATAATAATAACAAACAGTATGAAGAAACAAAGACAAATATTTCGAATACAATTTTATTTTTAAATGTTCATTAAGTTTTTGTTTTTATTTATAATAATAATAATAATGATGAAGATGTCATCGTTGATCGAGGAGTTTCATTAGATGTCGATGTAAATTAATGTTTTTCTTTTTTGAGTTATAATAATCACAGTTGTTTTTGTTTAGATCTTTGGCGATAATTTAGAAGAATTATCAGTCAGTAGTACAACTGCTTTGCCAGTTAATCGAACATCAATGACGAATTCTTTAAAACAAATTGTAAAACAAAAACGATTTTACTAGCCATACATATTACAAGAGTTTATGAAACAGATCGAACAATCAAAGTTCGTGTACTGACATTTATCATATTTGGATGAAACGAATGCTGTCGCTATCAAACTAATTAATTGAAATTGTGAGATCTTCCTAGCATGCACACATCGAGTTCTTCGAATTTCAAGTTATTTATATTATCTTGATCATGAGATGATGCTTAAAAATTTCAGCAAGATTTAGTTTTACGAAAAACTTCAGAATACAATTTCGAGTTTTTCAGTAATTGCGCAAGTATTTGTTTTTTGAAGTCTATGAACAATCATGGAAATATTGTTGAGTTCTTTTAGGATTCCTGTAAACCTTCCATTTAGTGATTGTTTATTTCACTATGTGTAAATCTATCATAGACAACTCGTAAATTTTTTCAATTAGTTTAGTTTGACTTTCTTTTTATTAATTAACTGAAAATAATTGTAACCAAAATCGAACTTGACTTATCAGATTTGGTTTATGCTGGATTTTCATAGAAAATTATTTTAGGATAACAATATCAAGTTGCATTTCGTTCAGTTCATAATCATCGTATAAGTGCTCATTCTGATAGTACTACATATGGTAGTATAAAAAGTGATTCAATGAATGTTGATACAGTTTTTTTTTTTTATTTCTCTTTGACTGAACATCCAAGTGCATCACCATATGAATATGATTGTATATCAAATGATGGTATCGAGTAGAGAAATTTCTTAATTCAATTAGATAATCAAGTTTGCAACAACTTCTTACATTATCATGTGAAAGTTCAACAACAAGTCATTTAAGTTCAATATTAACCAATCAAATATTATCATCAAGTTGTTAGTTTTTGTGTTAGCGCATTATCAGATGATATTCAACAAACATCAATATCAAATCCTAATCCTAAAATGACATATTTTCTGTATTTTTTTTCAAAAACATCAATATAATGAGCATTTAGATACTGAAGATAATTAAACAGCAAGAATTGTTTTTTTTTCTTGTCTGTAAAATAGTACTAATAATATTTCTTCATTAATATCTTTCTTTAATACAAGCTGCAACTTAAACAAATAATACAGCATAGAACTTGAATTTCTTTAGAAAACTAAGACGTTCATATTCACAGATTAACATGAAGTTATATTGAAATGAATCCTGAGGAAAAAAAAACAGCATTTTTACGATGTGATATAGAGCTCGTCGGATCCAAAGTTTTCGGATGTGATTCACAGAAAGGGTGTGAGCGTTTATGTGAGGATTGGAAGGAGACCTACAATAACACTCTCATCCACATTCATACTCTGCTTTTTATCGGTGTACTTGTTTGGAATAATATTCTTAAAAGAATCGTGAAATATGCAAAATTTTGTCACAGCTTATTTTAGATTTGTGAAACAATAGTTTCGAACTCTGGGTTCACGAAAATAATACATTACTGAAGGTGTACAACATTATTCTAAATAATGCATTACTATTAATTATTTGATGCATTATACTAAATAATGGGCTATTTTTGAATTATTTATCCATTATCGACTGCATGGTTTGTCAGACGAATGTCGAAATCAAGTATTTTGTTTCATTCTTTACTATATTTTTCCCGTCATACATAGCCTTCAAAAATCTATTGTCAAATCGAAGTTATCCAACTGTTCACTATCATTATCTCTTTTTTTCTATACGAATTATGAATGTAACTTATGAAAGAGATATTATTCATAAAGGTCAACTGGATGAACATAGAATGAGACAAGTATTTCAGCTTTGGATCATTTTTAAGGAAAACGTCAGTATACTGTTTCAATATGACGATAAAATTTATCCGATCGATAGAGTATTCGAACAATCGTTATGTATGTAACTGCAAACTAGTGTATCATGCTTGAATCATTGTTGTCTACTCAACGTAATCGAATCTTTTATTGCTTTAATTTACTGCGATGGTATCGCTGAACTGCTTATTCAAAATGAATCTTGATCAAGTTCATTATATGATTCTATACTGATCTAGCCCATTCGATCAATTGCCATTCATATGATATTCGACACAAACTGGTGCAATTCTTTTAGCAAAAGAATCTCTATAATCAAACATAAAATAATTATGAATTTTGAATGATGTTGCATAATAAGTTTATGATAGGTAACCCCAATGTTAGCGGTCTATATCATACAGATGATCATGTATTTGTCTTACTCTTTCATTGATTAATACAACAGAACGTTTTTACAGTGCATCATAATCTTTCACATTATATCAGAAAGCACATTGTGTGATTAAAAAAATCGTTTGATGTACAAGCTAAAAGACAATCATTTGTACAAAAATTGATGTTACTAAAATTTTTCAATAAGTGACGAGACAGATAGAGATCAGCATTATTTACATTATGTGACCAATTATATCTTGTCTTCAATGCTTAGTCATTTGAGCAGAGTTCCATGATCGATTTACATGTTTGTCCTTTATATTCTATCTCATTCAAATGTGTATACATCACATCATTACTAAAAAAATCTGAGGGTGTGGGTGCCAAACGAACATCAGACAGCATACCAGCACTCATAGCCTTATCAGAAAAATTCAAAATCATAGAACAGCAGTAAGAGTTTAAAGTCTTGATTCGTTACGAACTTGCATGGTAGCAATCATTTATTGTGAACAGTTTTGGTAATAAATAACAATAATAAAACTATTTATATAATTCTATTGCCGTTTGATCATATTAATTCTAGCATTGAGTCAAAGTACATCTGAATAATCTCGTTCTTCCGAGTGAACTTCCGAGAAATTCACGTTTGTAAGTACTTGATGGCCAAACGTGTAAATAGAATCCGATCGTTTGTGGTATAACAGAGAAGATAGGTATATATAAGAAAATATCGTTGCCAATGGCTCATTAATGAACAGGCCAAGTATTGGGTTGATGCAAAAGTCTCCGCCGATTTTTTTAAAAATTTCTTAAAGCCCTCTAGCGCTACTATGCTTTCGCGATTTTCATACATATGATACCGCTTGTGTAGTACTATAAAATGACATTGGTTAATGTCCCAGTTTATTTACATTCTTCATTAAAATATGTCAGAGATTCCTATTCATTTTCGACACTGCATTTTGTATGAGTTCCAATTAGGGAACAATGCAAGTGCTGCTGCCCGCAATATATGTGCTGCACTTGGTGAAGGTGCTGTTGCTGATCGAACGTGTCGAGATTGGTTTAAAAGATTTCGTGAAGGTGACATGTCATTAGAAGATCGTCCGAGATCTGGACGTCCTCACGAGTCTGATATTGAACGATTAAAAGTCCTGATCGAAGACAATTCACGATTAACCACCCATGAATTGTCAGCAATGCTCGGGTGCGACCAATCCACCATTGATCGCCATTTGCATAAAATGAGAAAAGTTAATAAACTTGGAACATGGGTTCCACATCAATTAACCTCGGACAACGTACAGCAAAGAATCACCATATGCAATTCTTTGTTGTCAAAACGCAACCGACATAGATTTCTTCAGCAGATAGTTATTGGTGATGAAAAGTGGGTTCTATATGTCAACCATACGCGCAAGCGCCAGTGGGTAAATCCTGAAGATTTGCCCAAACCAGAACCAAAAAACGACCTGCACCCGAAAAAGGTGATGCTCTCAATTAGGTGGGATTTTCAAGGTATTATTTACTGGGAACTCCTTCCGCCTAACACTACCGTCGACTCGAAGCTGTACTGCAAACAACTCCAAAATCTGAAGGTTGCATTGCAAGCAAATCGTCCTGAAAAACGAAAAGTTCGATTACTTCATGACAATGCAAAACCTCATACGGCTAAGGTCACTCGCCAAAAGCTGGAAGAATTAGGCTGAGAGGTCCTACCTCATCCACCATATTCACCAGACTTGGCACCATCTGACTATCATTTGTTTTGATCGCTCCGCAATCATCTGGTCAAAAAACACTTCGATGATCAAGCCCACCTAAAATCGGACATCGAAACTTATTTTTTGTCTTTGTCTGTGAAGTTCTTTGAAGATGGTATTCTGGACTTGCCTAAAAGATGGGAGAATGCAATAGATAACAACGGTGTATATGTTGTTGATTGATGACATTTTATTTCAATAAAATCTCGAAACCGAGAAGAAGAAAAAAATCGGCGGAGACTTTTGCATCAACCCGATAAAAAGAAAGCGTCGTTTATGGTAGCGCCGCGAAAATTATTACTAACGGACTAATATAGAGTTCTTTTAAAGTTAATAATTGTTTTTTCAAGACAAGCTTAAATCTGGCTTTCTGTTCAGATGTTTTCATTCGATTTCGTGCGATAAAAACGATGAGCAACGTAATCGATAGGATTTGAACTAAAAATGGCAAGATATGATTAAGAGTAACAACAAAACGATGATAAGTTGCAATTGGTGACGATGGAAATATCATTGTACATGACTGTGATGGTTGAACGATACTCAAATATAAGAATTCATATACGTTCAATAGTAGAATACTGATGATGGTTAACACACTAATAAGAATTGATATGTTTGGTTTGTTCATAATGGAAGAATTCGGAATAAGCATTACATTGAAACGAGCAACAGTAACCCAGGTCATTATCCAATTACACGAGTACATTGAAACTGATAAGAAGTATGAAATAAATTTGCACGACAGAATATGCATTAGATTCATTGAAGTCAAACGAATAATTATCAGTTTACCAATGAGTAAGAATAGTGAACTTTGATTAAGAATAGTTACAAAGAGCAAATAATTACCCACACCGACCTTTCTTGGTTCTCTTCGTTGAAATGTAAACAAACTGCAGATATTATTGAATAGACCGACTACAACCAATATGATAGCCAGACACAAGTATATCGTTTGAATGATCGCACTATCTTGAATGATCAGTGAATCAAGGGTACTACTGAACGCCTCGTTGTTGAATTCACATACACGACCATGATGACAATGTGGACACAAACAAAGAAAATCGGATTGATTATTCAATTGACCTTGAATACATCGACCATTTGATTGACATGTAGAACATTGATCGAGCGTTGAATCGAAAATAAAACACGTAGCTCGCAAATAATCTTTGTTACACAAACATAAATAATTTTCATCATGAAAAGAAAGTAATTCAGGTAAACTTATCGAATTGAGGTATTGTCGACAAATATGATGATAGAGAAACACAGATGGAATACCAGTTTGTAAGAATGCTAGAAGAAAAATCTACCGAGTAAAGTTCTGAATCAATCGCTATAATCCATTGTTTATAGGATGTCTCTTATGGGTGTCTTCCCTCCGAAGACTTACAATCATTTTTCTTAAAAGAATCATATCAGACAAATGAAAAAATATTGCAAAGAAAAAGTTTAAAAAGAAATTTTTTCACACAATTTCTCTATTCTTTCAGGATTTGATTGTTAGTTCTCATAAATATCTAATAGTTCAAAACTCATTTTTGTGAAACATTAGCTTTGAAAAAGTTTGATAGAGATTCTGAAAATCTTGGAAAAGAAAATCAGTAATATATAGATCGATGCATCTTTCCAACGATGAAAACTACAGCTTCTAATCCTGTTTCTTTTAAAACGTGTTCAAAAATCATTCAAACTTTTTCTCTTATGAAATGGGTAGTAAAAGTAGTAAGAAAAAGTTCTTTGTCGATGAACACTTACTTATGTTTAATTTCTCAATATAGGTGTTCGCTTTAGGACAAAACCATGGATTCCTTGTTATGTTGATTGTATTAACAGATAGCCAAAAGTAACCGATAAAATATCGAAATGAAAATAAGTCATCATAGAATTTCAGCAAACAAAGTGGTGGTACAACTTCACCTATGTGCTTATAATAGATATATTCAGCAAGACCCGATTGAACGGTTTGATGTACAATATCAAGTTGAAAAGATTGTTTATTGATTTCATAAAACTGAATGGTCGTTGCTCGAACGTTTTCTATCGTACTTAGTCGTATATTAATAGGAACTTTTTCAAGATCACATACATTTCCATAGAAATGATCTTGACAAACACAACGATAGTGTGTTTCACCACTCCAATCGTATGTATACAAACAGGTACCATTGTTTTGACAACGATCTTTCGAACAAAACGAATTGAAACGAAGATGACAACGTGGTCCGTATCGATCACGTGGACAGATACACAATGGTTGTTCTAGTCCATGACTTTGAATAAAGTAATCACCTTTGCATAGTGATGATGGTGAACAATATACAGAACATTGGTCATTGTAAAATTGACAGTATTGACCGTAGTATCCTTGTTTACATGAGCAATAATACAAATTCTTCGTCGAGAACAGTGGTCGTCAGATTGAATTACGTTGACAACGATGTCTGCGACATGAATCAATGGAAACATTATTATAATCGCTTGGAAATCGTAGAATAGTGGCAAAGCGAAACGATGGTAAGAAATCAAAATAGATCGGATAATGCCAAGCTCTCAATTCGACAATTGTTTGATTTGTTTGTAATTCAAATGCTTCAAAACGAATCGAATATGGATGTTCATGGAAAATTTTTTGTCGAGATGTTTGTCGTTCTTGTTTTATTTTTAAATGTAATGGACTACGACTATACAATAGGTGAAACTTATGTTTGACAGATTCATTTATTTCAATTAGTGATTGTACATGAAATTCATGCCAGTCAAGAATGTTGTATTCGTGACGAAGAGTAACTAAGATTTTGATGAACACATTTGTGTCATTGTTCATAGCAATGTCAAATTGAAAATGTGAAAGATCGAGATGTGTTACAACGGTGATTCGATCACTAAAATATTCACATCGCTTTCCATAGTACGTCGGTGGACAAAAACATTCGATAGCATCATTGACATGGACAGCAACACCTCGATTGCACCAAAAACTATCGCGCAATATGGATTCATATTGTAGAACTGTTCGACCAAATTTCTTGGTTCGAATAGTTGTTTGTAAACGTTGAAAATCGACTGATAAACGATGCGATTGTGGATAGGATGGAATATGAAGATCAAAAGTTCTATCTACATCGTTACGATGTTTTATTTGTCGATAGTAAGACTTTTCAAAATTGCCAGTGGTTCTAGGACACCAAAATTCATCTTCACCATACGGACAATCTAGTGAACCATCGCATCGACCTCCTTTAATGCATTGTGCACTATTTAGACATGTGACATCTGTCGGAGCACTGCAATTTCCAATTGTTGAACGATAAAAACAAATTGGTTGGTCATCACGATTTTTACAACGATTTTCGCAAAGATATGCATAAGCCATACATAAATACCCCTGGAAAGTAAAAGCTGGACATGGTATTTCGAATCTATTGACACTCAAGAAGGACATTTTGGAAAACTTAATTATACCATTTGATAGCCCTTGGAATTCTCTATCACCCTGTCTATTTTTGTCTTCGTTTACAGTTAAACATTACCAAAATAAATTGAGTGCAATGAAGGTACCCTTATGTCCAGATTCTCACAGATTGGATTTTGTCTCCTCAACTAGTTCTCCAGCTATAGAAATACATTTCCAAAAAAGTAATTATATATTCTGATAGAGCTTGAAATTCTCTATCAGCCCATATATTTATGTATTGCCTTATATTTGTTTGCTGAAAAATAATTTGAATACAATGAACGCCTCCTCAATCGACAAGTATACAAAATCCGCATTTTTTCGTTGTTTTTTTAGTTTCTTTCGCAAATTATTTTCGTATAGGAATAACTTTTTTCAAAAAAAAAAATTTACATTCTGATAGAGCTTGAAATTCTCTATCATCCTATGTATTAACATATTGTCTTGAATTTAAGTAGCGAGAAAAACTGCAGATTTTTCATACTTGTCGATTGAGGGACCGTTCATTCTATTCAAATTATTTTTCAATAAACAAATATAAGGCAATAGATAAATATATGGGCTGATAGAGAATTTCAAGCTCTATCAGAATATATAATTACTTTTAAAAAAGATAACACCATAATGATAAAAAAATCTGAAAGACTAATTTTGATGGCAGAGAAAAAATCCAGTCTGTGAGAATCTGGACATAAGGGTACCTTCATTGCACTCAATTTATTTTGGTAATGTTTAACTGTAAACGAAGACAAAAATAGACAGGGTGATAGAGAATTCCAAGGGCTATCAAATGGTATAATTAAGTTTTCCAAAATGTCCTTCTTGAGTGTCAATAGATTCGAAATACCATGTCCTGCTTTTACTTTCCAGGGGTAAAGATAATGCCAATGCACTATTACAACGAAAACTATACCCTTTCATATTTCCCTGACAGTCTTCGAATGTATTCGATTCATCAAGTGCACCATAACAATTGGCAATGCCATCACCAATCTGAGTTAGATTAATACATGGCCGATTCGTAAATATATCTGTTGGATCAGTTACATTGTTTAAAAGGCAAGGAAATTCATATTGAAAATCACAAAATTTATCGAATGGTTGTTTATGATCGTACATCTGATGACATTGTTCGACTTTCGTTGACAAATTACTTCCTAGTTGACGATTGTGCTCAGACATATGATCGATCAAAAGAAAAATGGCTTGTTCATCTGAACCATCTGAACAATCGATTTCTCCATCACAAACATAATCAATCAATATACACTGACCAGTTCCACATTGAAAATCACTTGTTGAACAAATCCACTATTGACAGTACGTTGGTGACTCGTCGATTTTCGACGAAAGATCCCAATAGCTATTGCAAAAATAACGAAACGGAATTTGAACTGACAACATGGGTTCATTTGGTAAATTCAATAAAGATTCGTTTGTCTTCATTGATGAAGATTGACTAATGTACAGTCGAATTCTCTGACAACCGATATCATTCGATCGTTTACAATCTATTCGATTTAGTGGATAACTCAATCCATAGACAAATTCATCGAAATCATTGAGACAATCCTTTTCTCTATTTCCTAAGCGCCACACAGGCAAACACTTTGAATCATTCGATGAACATTGAAAACGATGCTTTCTAATATTAACGTCACATTTATAATCGATGACTTTCTCATCCATAACGTACATACAGTTTGCAGCTTGATCCAAAAGTCGATATTTGGAAATACATTCTTTCGATATAGAACAAACATCAGCTATTTTATAAGGATAACCATTGAATGTTTGCGAATTATTCCAACAATATTTGTCCTTTTGTAGTCTCGATGTATTGTCCGCATATTCGACATATTTGCAAGCGATCACATCAGCTGCACGAAATAATTGATGGAAAAATTTGATATTGTCCAACATCGAATGACACACACGATAGCCACGGCACTGGATACATCCATTCATTCTAGCCAAGTCCGGTACAATTGCGTGCCAATCACGATCGATTCGATATTGATGAAAAAGATGGGGTGCATACAAAGCACCATCAGGATAGATAACATAATCTTGTTCGCAAATTTCTTTCATCAATATCGAACAATTGTTTTGATTACATGGACAATCGCGTTCAAAGCCACGTGACAAAGCACACTTAACCAGATAGATACATTTTTCCGACTGAGTTAAAGTCGAACTATTCATATCGTTCGGATCATTATGATTTGGAAATGGATAGCACATTCCGTTCGACGTTGTCCACAATTGTTTAACAGTAGTAATTTCACAATAATAATTTCGTTCTCGCATATTCTTACAACTCCAATCAGTTGAGGTGCTATGCTCGAATAAGTATGACAACATGACACATTCACCATCTCCGCAAGGTGTAAACCATGGATAACAGAGACGTTCATCACATAGAAAGGTATCAAATGTCGAAGAACAATATATACCTCTCGTAAAATTTTTTTCATCACTGAGATCCATGCAGTCGAATTCTCCTAAAATAAAGATCAATAATGATTATTATATTTCCAAAACGTTTGCTTTCAGGTTGCATAAATAGATCATTTCAGAACATCACGGAACCTCAGCGGCTCAGACGAAGAAAGGAAAACAACTGAGACTTTGTTTGTGAAGTGCCATCGAGTCTTGAAAATCTTTTGAAGTCTGCTGAAATTTTGTGATGTTTCTTGAAATTTCTGAAGTCTCTCATAGAGCCTCATAAGTCTGAAATTCTTGAAGCCAGTTGTTTCCTCTTCGAACGGCATGTTGCTAAGCATTAAGTTCGAACGAAAATACACACCACTAAACACTATCGAATGTACCAAGTGTTCAAAGAAATAAGACTTTTTATGAGAATTAATGAGAGCAGCTGGTCCCTGTCTGAATGGCTAGGTCAAACTTCTGATCTGCTCATGAAACGGGCACTCAAAACCAAGTCGAAAAACCTTAGTATGGTAGTGCTCTTTTGAAAAAATGTTTTAATTCTTATATTTAGTAGAATTAAACAATCGGCAATCTATCACTTAGACATTCAATGCGAAGACTATCCACTCACAATCTCAAGAAGTTTTTCAATCTTTATGACTAGTACAACTGATTGACTAGATTGAAGTGTCTGAATCAATTAATATTGTCTGATGTTTGGCTCACTTCAAGCTCAATATGATCCTAGCCATCCAACGCTGCATTTCTGACTAGAGTCGAGAGACGTGTCGAGATATTCTAGGATCAAAATTGACTTGACAATTTTTTCACGATCATTGTTTCTATATATCTACCAAGAACTAATCTTATTGTTCATTTTTTGACTGATGAAATGTTGATATAGTCTAATGCCTTCAAGTGATTTCATGCAAAAGAGATGAGCTATTAGAAATCATACAATTGAACGATATTATTATTTTGAGATTCTTCTTAATTTCGGTAAGACAACGACACGATTAATGTTACTTGTAATTGCATCATCATCGAACATCTTACTTAATAACTTACCATCGAGCCAGTACTCTTCAGGGATGCACATCCCATTGTCGCACCTATATTCGTCTGGTTCACATTCGTTGAATTCCAAAAGATCACAAGCTTCTTCATCTTTACCATCAAGACAATTCTGTCTTCCATCACAAATATTTCGCCAATCCAAACACATCAAACCGGAATCACAAACCAACGTCTTATAACATACAATGATACCAAAGATTTGTAGCCAATCTTCATTTCCTTTTTTCTTTTCGAATTGTGTTCGAATTGACGACGAAAATAACGGCTCATCGATGTCATTGATTAAATGATATTCACAGAACTTTCCGAACGTTCCCAATCTGGTACAATTACAAGCAAACTCGTTCATATCGCTTTCATCAATTAAAATTCCACTTTCATTGGCGTAAAAGATACGAGCATAATTATCTGCTGTTTCAATACTTGAACTCCATTGTAAAACTGTATCCGGTGTTATAGCGAGCGAGAAAATTTCACGAAAACTCCAACATTTTCCATCGTTATGGCAATAATTTGATGTACGTAATAGTAGTTCAGGAGTTTTGAAACGTTTGCAGTATTTTATCAATGATCCACTAGGATCTCGATTGTAGACACAATCGTAATTTTCAACTTGATTACCATTCTGAGTGTCGTACAGAAGAACAATGCCACTCGTACATTTTAAAATCATGATATACAGAAACAGTTGCATTTCTTGTTGAAATGACACTTTTGAATACAATGGTGTTGAATGATAGGTTCAATAGAACTATTTTATCAACGAGAATGCTATTATCAAAAGAATCTGATTTGAAGAAGTGATAGAATTGAAATGATTTTTATCTACCTATGGTTGTGTAGCTTGTTATAAATGTGTGTGTACGTCATAATAATTATATCAGTTTCAAGCATGCTTATCATTTCATCTGCATCGCAAGTTAGAGTTTAAGCGCTTTAATGTGAAGAAAAAGCAATAAAAAAAATGAAGCGATTAAATTTAAAGAAGTACATTATGAACAACATCTGTTACTAGTGACATTATCAATACTTGAGAATGAATTATTCATATTAAATATAAAGACTTATATTTAATTGAGCAATAAAAAATACAGAATGAGCAATAATCAAATTTAGCGATAAATATATAGAATGAGCAATATATATATAGAATGAGCAATATATATATTGAATAAGCAATATATATATTGAATGAGCAATAATTAGATGGAATGAGCAATAATTCCATGAAATGAGCAATAATTAATTAAAATGAAGCGTAAAATGTATATAAAAGGGCAATACTAACTCGTTTTTTTACAACAATAAACGTTTTCTTATCCTCATGAAATTTATATATAACTTTTATACATGACTCAAGCACAACTCATAGCACACTATTTTCTGATTCTTGGGTGTGGGTGTGGGTGTGGATGTTAAACTACAATAAACCCACACCTACACCCACACCCACACACCCACACCCGCACCACACCCCACACCCACACCCCACCCACACCCACACCCACTCACATCCACACCCCACACTAGACATCGGCGTGACCGCCGTGACTGCCGTGAGTCACGGTCACGGTCACGGTCGTGAGTCAAGATTGTGACCATTTTTCGAAAAAAAGTCGTGACCGTGACGTGACCGTGACCAAAACCTGGTCACGACCAGTCACGATAAATTTTCAATGTAACTATAAAGCAGTTATTTTCAAACTTTATTAGAGAATTAAATATTATACTTAGTATTCTTTCAATATGTATCAATATCCTTTTCTAATTATGCTAATTTAAAACGAAGGAATAGAATCAATACAATCGCGATACCAGAAAAAATGTACTCAGTATTAATATATTTTAAACTGTTCGCATAGAAATATTTTAGAAAAAAGTGTACCATTAAAAAATATTATGACCTTCTTGAACAAGATTTGTCATTTTTATATATTTTCGATTTTTTTGACTCTTATCTGATGACTGATTCGACGATTGATCATTTCTCTACTTGTTCTGATTTCACCCATTTCTATTCAGGTTTTGGCCAAATACACTTTCAAGAACTTTAAGAAATTTTCTCAAAAACAAATTCATCAATTCTTTTCATACCTAATCTTTTTCGTTTATCTGTTATATTACCTTTTGCCTCTCCGCACGAGGAGATCCGAGGTTTTCTATTGTGTCTAATCCCAAAAGTTTTCCAGAGGGTCTTGGGTAATGTCTCTTTTCTTTCTACAGATTGCAACTAAAAAAATTGTTCAGAAAGCCAAAGCGATTTTGATGCTTTGAGAAGGAATTTTTCGGATTTTAAAAGCCTAGATAAAATGTTGAAAACACTTAGTTAAATTTTGTAGCTGAAAACTCTGAAAGCTAAGCATATTATGATGTAAATCCAGTGGTTGAAGTTGTCATTTTTCGAAAAATTTGATAATTGAATAAAGTCTTATACTAAGTCTCGCACGTATTTCTCCAAGGGGGTCTTCTATTATGGAAAGCCTTCTAATATAGGGACCTCCTATCGGAAGAGAAGGGTATGCTGTTTTGAGAAAAAAGAAAATAGTCGTTCGTATAGAGACTGGCATGGCTACCGTGACTCACGGTCACGGTCACGATGGCAACGGTCGTGACCGTAACCGTGACCAAACTGATCGTGATCGTGACGTGACCGTGACCAAAAAATGTTGATCACGCCGATGTCTACCCCACACCCACACCCTCCCACACCCACACCCACACCCATTTTTCCTTTTTGTTTCTTGTAAATTATAAATAAAAATATTTCACTTCTATCTTTTTTTGTTGCTCAAATATGAAATTAATATTGTTATATAATAAATTATTTATTGCTCATTTAATGTCAAAATATTGCTCATTTAATATCATAATATTGCTCATTTTATATTATAATATTGCTCAACTAAACATTTTTTATTGCTCAAAAATTATTGCTAAATCATGTTTTTATTATTGCTCATTCTATATTTTTTATTGCTCAAATAAATACAAGCCAAATATAAATGTGTTAACTGAGAAAAAAAATCAACACTTCAGAAATTATATTTATTTACCATATGTCACCCTCTGACTTTAATGTATCCTAATGAGATAGTTACCTGATAAAAAAGTGTATCTATCAGAATGATATACAAAAATACCAGCAAAAAAAAAAAAAAGAAAGACAAAGCAAGAGTAAGGCATAATGCAGAAGATGAATTATTATAACAAAAGATTACTTACAAAGAGATGATTTCAAGAGAAACGAAGAACGACAATCTGTACTAGAATGTCCCTGGAAACTTAACATAGTATCCGATATCTCCCATGTAAATAATCGTTACCGATTTAGATGAATCGTATTTAATAAACAATTTAAGATATGGCGAAAAGCATCTACATGTGAGATAAATCTTTTAGAGGCGGCAAAGAGAACCAATTGATCTTTTCTCTTTTTCACATTCGAAACGGATCACATTTAAACAATATTCTTCGAGCAACACATTTCTGTTCAAGATTCGAAGAATTCTCTTACTGTACTGTGTCCAATATGCATCATATCAATCATTAGTGTACGTTCATCGTAACTGAATGCGAAAAATAGATGATACAGTGCATAAAGTGATATGAAAAAAATAATACTACGAATGTTCAGAACATAAATCGACAAAGTATATAGTATATTGACTTCCCAAATCTCATCCAGTCGGTGTGGATAAGGTCGCGAGTATTTGTTCCTGTACTTCTTGTACTCCATCCACACTCACACCCTTCTCTCTCTTTATTATTGTTTTTGTTCTGTCATTATTCATGGGTATTACACCAGTGTTTCCCTTATGTCTTGTTTTCTCGCCTATTTGTATGAATGTAATTTCAGTTAGAAATGCATTTGACAACAAAATCTCCATCTACTCTTTGATAGAGATCTTCATAAGTTTTAGTATATATATATCTGCTGATTTGTCATTTATCAAAAAAATCGTATAAAAACAAATAGAATAAAAATTAAAGAAAAAAAAAGACATAAAATTTGTTGTCAAATATTCATTTAAACCTCCACTGAGAACATTTCTCGTTTTGAATTGCTGGTATTATATTGTTGATGCCTGAGAAAATAAATATATCATTTACATAGAATGTCATGCATTTTATATTAGTGAAAAGCATAACTAAATTGAGAATAATTATAAGTAGTAAAGAAGGGGTGTGGATATGGGTCGTCTTTCAGATATACTTATCCACTCTGACATTTACATACCCTTCTTGATCCGCTATATTCATTTCAAGAATCTTTTTAATAAATCAGGGTATGAGGATAAATGTCGATCTTATGTTCAGTCACATAGACACTCACGTGCATAAGTTTCTCTTCTAAATTCAGATCTGACTTGATCGATATTGATTTAAGGTGTATTTCCAAGTTTTATTGCTTGACATTGTTAGAATAAGCATCATTCATCGTAGTTTTATCACAAAAATCACACGGATCACAGATCTTTACGTTCTAGTAGGGAGCAATCCTTCAAATTAGAATGAGGCGAGCTTATTGAGACTGGCAATAATTATTTGATAAACTGACTAACTAAGGTGCCTTATGTCAAATGATCATAGAACTAAATCAACTTCTCATTGTTTCTGATGATTATTCAAGTTTAAATGAACTTAATGCTTCATTCAGAAAAAGAAGATTTTTCTCTTAAGTGTGGTTCTGAGATAGACTCTTGTTGTATGTTTCAATTTCAATTCACTTCACAAGAAAAATTTCTTCATCATTCATATAATCATCGCGTAAGATATGATCATGTGTTTGTCCTAGAAAAATAGAAAAAAAATCATCGCCCTTGTGGTATTACACATCGTAAAATACAACAGAAGAAAACAGTTAGTATGAAGGCGCCGATTATGTAAACAAAAAATGCCCAATACAATACAGGATGGCAATAGGTTTCCTTGTTTGTTTGTTCACCGAACTGAACTTGTCGATGAGCAGTAATAAACGTTGGTATTGCAAAACAAACTCGAATAATCAAGAATAAGATAAGTCCTCCAATCGGTATGAGCATCCAACATTCAATTGAACAGCAGCGACGTTTCTTTGACGATTCATTGTTTTTGTCATTCGAATCTTTTGAGACTGCGAGTATTCTACTCATTGAAAAATTCAATAAAAGAGATGAACAAAATTTTTATTTCTTATTTAACTTACATAATAAGTAAACTAACAAAAGCAACGAGAACGAGACTACACGAACCAGTAACGATCATGTATCCAGCAATATTGCGATCGATTGGACATAAGTCTATGAAATAGATGCCAATACCCAATGCTATGCATGGAAATATCGAACAAATAAATACCACACTACAAATCGAAAAAAAACCGAAATAAATTATCGAATATAACAAATATATCGACTATACATGAGGAAATGTTTCAAATCGGTTTCTTCTGATTGATTTGAGGCATCAGTCAGTTTTGTCGATTGTTTTGGTTCGGCCAATTCGAGTTCCTCATCTGCTATTTCCATCGATCACAAATATAACTACATATATGTTTTTCCAATCGTACTGAAGCAGAAATGTCTATTTACAATAGTTTATTTGACATTCATTCTGACGAACAGAAGAACTATTTACTTTTCCAGACCAAACCACATGACACTGGTGACTTTTTTTTTCTCTTCTCGTAGTTTT